GTTTGGGGTTTAGGGTTTAAGACTTCAAAAATGCAGGGGGTGTAGGGCTTCAGGGGGTTAGGGGCTTACTGGGCAATGAGTTTAGGGTTTGGGTTTACGGTCACAGACCAGATCGATTCCTAGGTTCGAGGGGCTCTATAACCCTAAGGGCCCAAGAACTTCTTAGTATAGGAGTTTGGGCGGTTTTAGACATAACGAACCCATAGATAAGGACCTTGAATCCTCATGGTAAGCGTTATATAGACTTTGATGAGGTTTCCGGCAAAGAACAGCTGAGACATGCTCTTATTACAAGGAGACTACACCGCTTCAAGTCTATACAGGCGCTCTGTATCTTCGGAAACTTTCAAACCTAGTTGGAGAATCCGGGTTTCATAGAGTTTCTACACTGCATTGCAAGAAACTCCGAACTCCTTCGCAGGCGCGGGATCCTGTTCTCGTTTGAACATATGTGCGATTAAGAAACAATGGAAAACTAAATTCAACCCGCTAAACCCTATAAACTCTATTATTAAAATCCTGAAAAATCTAACAAAGAAGTCAGAGACATTGCAGTCACTGTGTACGATTTGGGGCTTCTGCGGTGAGGGTTGTTGCTCAGGAGTTGTCCCAGAAGGCCAGCAAACAGCCGACATATTCAAGCGGCCTTAATGGTAAGAATAGGTTTTGGCGATAATCCTTTTGTAGAAGAGAGTATAATCTATCTAGAGCCAGTAAAAGATATGATCTGTAAATTACTCAGACCTTTGCATTAGATGTCCGTCTTCTTTTCAGACTTCCCGGAGATTTTTTCAGAAGATAAAGGGACCCTGAGTCAGGTGCCCCTCATCAGATCAACATCCCAACAAATGGCGAATCTAATCCTTAAGATCTGAGCCTTGAACTCTGATAGCCTTGTCCAGAACCAGCCTGCCATCCTTCAACAGCCACCCTCAACACTTAACCCTAAATCCGGTCTCAAGTGATACTGGTGAGTTTAGCACTCTATTCTAAAGTGTAGGTTAGCTTGTCTCCCTTCCGCAAGATGGCGAAAGACCAAACGATAGTCTGAAAATACTTGTCGAACAGGGAACTGTATTCTAGCATAACGCTACAGTGTTCATGCGGTATAGTACATGTCATGTGATACATCGTCTACATCTGCAGGAAGTCGCGTAGCACTGCTGTCGACAAGCATATTGAATGTGGCAACTTGTGAACTGATAGAAAAAGGGACGGCTGCCTGATCAACATCAACTCAGTGCGGCCCGGGGCGTATTCGCTCAACCTTGGATGCTTGGATTCCGAAAACCGGAAACCACAAACCCACCCTAGACCAAAAACCCCAAACCCTGAACCCTAAACCCTTTCGAGTTCGGACCAGTATCCTCCCACAAAGCTGTGACTAACAAGAAGCATATGCACCGCAGAACCGAGATTTCATGCACATGATCACACACACAGGCGTGCAAATATACATACGCACATGCAAACAAACACCCATGCAAAGGCGTTTATGCATAACAAGCGAAATACATGTGCGTTGGTGGGTATGCTCCGACGTGCTGCATTCTTACGGCAGTAACGAACGACTTCGTTACCGCCGCAAAGAATGCAACCACTACCTTTGCGGATCGCATTCGGGGCAGGGGGAGAACCATGATCTTGGAAAGCCACGTGTTCACTTGTGGTCTGCCCTCAACGGGGTGGCTTTCATCTCCGTGACTCTAGAGGCTAAGTTTTAAAGCGACACTGCAGAACCATGTGGATGATGCCAACCGCGGTCGCCGATAAGTCTCCTCAACAAGGTCGTGTATATGCTCGCATGAAGAAGACGTTTGCCAATAAGTTTATGCGGCCTTACTTTTCCGTGCACCCTTCAATGGAGTAGCCTGGAAATCGAATGGCAGCCTTGACCAAGGTGGGTGATCATGAGAACTACCTTAAGAACCCAAAACCCACTTTTTGTAGGTTCTTATTATAAACCCTAATATGGGATTTATGGGGACCCTACAAAAAAGTGGGTTTTGGGTTCTTAAGGTATGGCACAACTCCGAAGCCCAGCTTGGAGTGAGACATTCAAGCTTAGGGTTTAGGGTTTAGGGTTTAGGGTTTAGAGTTTAGGGTGTAGGGAGGACAGTTTGAGCAAGGTGCGGGTCCCTTTGTCACCTGCCTGCTACGGTGCTCCAGGCCGTTTGTGAATGTTCTGGTGGGGGCTGTAGTGGTAGTGTGGCGGTTCTAGCTGCAACGCCAGCTGTGCCTTCTTTTCTCAGTGAAAGACCGAGCAGCGGTCACAATATTTTGATGATTTTCGGTCAGTATCCAGAAGTGGTGGTGCACTCCGATGTGTTCGTCTAACATGAACCCGAATGCTGTGTGATGATGATGATGATGATGATGATGATGTGTATGTCTATGTGCATGTGCACGTGCCTGTCCATGTCTATGCCTATGGTTATGTCGAAGTCGATATCTATGTGTGCGAGTATGGGGTGAATACGTACGCAGCTGGCCATGCATACGTGTATATACATGTATAGACATACATACATATATATATATATATATGTATGCATATGTGTTTGCACGCATGTACGACTGTATGCATGCCTGCATGCTTGCATGGATGAAGGCACATACGTACGTACGAATGTACGTATGTGCATGTGTTTGTGCGTATGCATGTACGCATGTACATACTGGTATGTATAGGTATGTGTGTAGGTATGTTTAATTGTGAGGTTAGTACAAGATCAAATGCACATGTAAGTCTTGAATTGTCAATGTTTGTACAATATGGTATCTGCAGGGCAGTATTGAAAATAGATGGAAAAGTAGTTCAGTTCAGAAACAATGTAACTATTTGTGATTCGTGATCCCTGCGTAAGGCCTCGGAGTCCACCAAAACCCCTGTCAAGGATGTAGGATTTAGGAATTGCGTCTTTGGGTTCAAAATTTCGGGTTTTAGGGCTCATGGAGTCCTAAACCCCTCGACCTTTCCCCAACACCTCAGCCGCAAACCCTAAACCCTTAAACCCCAAACGGCCCTGAACCCTTATAAGCCATAAACGCCAAACTCTCAGCCCTGAATGCTTTAGCCTATACAGCCTAAAACGCTAAAGACAAGCGCTGGCCGAAGGGCAGCTGCTCGACAGTTGCCTGCGCCTTGAGGTGGCCTCAACGGCATGACACGCCGTACAAGCACGACTAATGTAGGGGCCACAACAAAATAAATAGAATAAGGTTTCGGGCTCCCTTGTAGTTTATAATTCGGATGGAAATTTGTCAAGGCTTCTATATCTAATTCTCGCAACACGGACGTGAATCAATGGAAAAGGGTTTGGGGTGTGTTACACTAGAGTTGTAAAGAAGCGTGCCAAAGAGTGACATTATGTACCAAGATGGAGTATTTAGACTTCTATGTTGGTTGTTGTGTTGGCAACTACAAAACACTGCGTCAGGGCACACAAGGGTGATGATGATGATGACAATCATGCTATAATGATGCTAATCATAATGATGCTCGTGGTGGTGATGGTGGTAATGCAGGGGCCTAATTAACTAGTTAAAAGGGTTTTGGAGTATATTATACTATACTTAAAATAAGGACCCCCCCGGCCCCCCCAGAATAGTATAGGTAATTATTTAGGCCCCTAGCAAAAAGTCCGTCCGATGGACCTCCCATCAGCAGGCGAGCCACTATGCTGAAACCAGACACAAGGCCCAATACCAAGCCAAGCAAACCCTAGACCCTAAACCCTAAAACCCTAAATCCCCTAAACACCTGAACTAAACCCCTAAACCCTAAACCCTGAACCCTGAACCCCTAAACCTCAAACCCTAAAACCCCAAAGCCTAAACCCCTAAAGAACCGAAACAAGTGCAAACTCCAGACTCCAAGCCCCAAAAACCCGGAAAACTTCGTGACCAGGCAACTGTTTGCGTAGCTCGGCGACAACTTGCCCGCATACTCCTCGCCGCGTCTACCGTTTTCACCGAGGTGTGAGATTTAGGTACCGTGTTACAAGTACATGCAAGGTTCAGGAACTTCGATGCACGGTTTGGGCGTAAGCCTTTGCATGCTAAAACAGCAGGTCATCCTCGATGCACAGCTCAGTTTTCGGATCGTACTGTTGTCAAAATGCCGTGCCTTGGCTTCACACCCCCTACCAGTAAGCACCCAGAGCACAAGCCCTAAAACTTGAAGCGCTTAAACCTCAGGACTTTTAAACCCTGAACCCTAAACCGTAAAACCTCAAAATGATCCTCCGTCGGGTCGGCTTGCATGGGTCTAGACTTTTTTCTGAGTTTAAGGAGGAAGGCGTTCGTTTTAAAGTTTAGGGTTTAGGGTTTGAGTTTAGGGTTTAAAGTTTTCGTGGTCGCACCAGTTTAGAGTCTGAGGTAATGGTCTCTTAAAGGGTTTGTTGGTAAGAGTCTGATTACATGACTTGTTGCTGGTTTAGTGCAGGGAAGCTGAGCGACGAGATCGTTTAGGGTTTAGGCTTGTTGGGCTTCTTCTCGTGTATGTATATCAGGACTCTGGTTCATGCAGCAAGCCAAAAGAACATGTCGAAAAACAAGCCTCGAATGGAGGATGCAAGAGACACCTACGCCAATAAACTGCTACGAAACTCACCCATCAACTGCCATAGAGCAACAAAATCCCCTACAGCCCAAACCCTAAACTGCACGAAACCCCTTGCAAATCCTTGCCAGCTTTAAAACCGGTCTAAGGCATGCAATTGATTAAGCTGCAGATCCCACTCTGAACACCCCTCCGCAGAGAGCCCTCGAATGAAGGAACAGACAATTCATCGCGGGCAGAAGCCCTGTAATGTAGAAGCCTGACTAACTGCATTTGTTCTTAGGCTTCCTTGTTCGAAATATTCTACAATAGTGTAGCATAGCCCAGTCAGTATCCTGGTCTAGCAATCAAGGTGCCTAGATTCTCGAACCAGCTATGCATGAAAACTTACACGCATCGCTGTCTCACCCTAGGGGTCCAAAGGAGCCAATAATAAGGTACTTTGGTTGCGGATAGTAGTTATTTAGGTTAATACTTGGGGGAGTATATGATTCTTAGGTACTTGGACCCTTAGGGTCACGGAACTCACTCCCACACGGGTCCGAGGTCATCGACATCGTCATGTCGTTTGAGTTCATCTTCTCCGCCTTGGGAGAAATGCGCCTGAGCTGATGATCAACGGTTTAGGGTTTAGGGTTTAGGGTTAACGGCTTCATGTTCGACATGGATGGACTAGGGAAGGTATCTACTGAGTTCGGAAAAGAACATCAATCAATAGCGCTTTATACCTCTCCTCCTAAAGGGTATGTGTAATTCTTGTAGGGCCTGTAAAAGAATGCACGTGTATGTATGCATCACGCTCAAGATCTTCTCATGCAGATGGTATATTGGCATAATTCAAATTAAAGCCCTGAACCCCGAACCCTAAACCCTAAACCCCTAAACCCTGAACTAAGTAAACCTCCGGCTCATTGCCGGGACACATCGTGCTGTCCTCTCTGAGGTCTGTCACGCCACTCAAGAGGTCCTCAAGATCTGTGACCTCGGTTTAGGGTTTTTTTTTAAAAAAAATGCAATAGCCCTTTCTCTCGCACGAGGTCAGAAGGCTCACTCCATAGGAGTATGCACCAAAGAAAACCAACACAAACTCCTAGCCACGCTCACACCACTCACTCAAGCCAGAGGTAACTCAGCGTTTTCTCACTGTGTCGTGCGTCGTAGTCCCATCCACGGTCACGAAGGGGTCAGGCACCATCCCCATCGTGATCACGGCTTCGGCTTCGGTCCATACGAGCTTCTCTCCGTGCCGACGATGACCTTGTTCCAGCACCCCGTCGACGCGAACCATTGCCAGTGCCATGGACGGTAGGAGGAAGGAGCGGAGGGCCATCAGAGGAAGCTGCAGCGGAGCGGCCAGGTACCACAGTGTCATTGCCAGTGCCCTGGTCCCCTCCAGCAGCTTCGACCAGGTTTCCAACATGTACTCGTCTCGCTGTGACCATGCCGTAGGTGGGTACTGGACGGGCACGAAGGAGACGGCGACGAGCTGCAACGCCTCGGACTTGTCGGTGTAGAAGAGGATCTTCTGGCAGCGGCACGTGTTGTGGAAAGTTGGAGATCACCTCTTCCTCGTCGGTCTGGACATAGTAGAGCTCCCTATCATCCTCCGCCGGCCAGTTTCCTCTAGGGCATCTTCTGCCTGCTGCCATGTAGAGTTGCTCCACGTGGACCCGCCACCCCCTGCGCCTATATCCTGCCACGACATGCTCCTCAACGCCAGGAAAAGCACCCTTGCAGAGCCTCAAGCGTGGGGGGCAAGTCCGGCTGCAGTAGAACTGCCTGAGGGGCAGAAAGGCCCGTGCAGGCCGAGGACGCCCCCGATGAACCTTGAGCCGCCTCTCTGCTGACCACGCCCCACAATCTAACCTCCATTGTCGCAGCGTTGTAGGGCCTTGCATATCTCCCTCTTGCCACCCAGCACAAGCACTCCTCCAACGCGGCGCCAACCAAGCGCAAACAGTGCTGTAGGCGCCTTTGTCGGTCAAGAAGTCTACGAAGAACATCGACAACATCGGCTGTGCCTGCGTGTTGAAGTTCCAAGTTGATGGCGTCCTTGACCACGTCTTCACTCCTCGGCAACGAGGTCGTGGTGGAGGTAGAGGAAGCAGGGGAGCCCAAGTGCAGAGACACCACCAGACTCTCACCCTCCGTTCCAGAAGGAAGAGGCCACACTGAGGAAGAACAGGGTGGGAAGAACGCCTCGTAGGCCTCCTCGTTTGCCACAAGCCCATCAGTGTTCGCCATCCCTTCGACCCCGGTCGTGGTAGTGGAAGTAGTAGTCCAGGAGTTCACCCTCATCATTGCAGTTTGCATCCCGACAAATTCGTCCCCAGGCGAAGACGGCGAAGACGGAAGAACTAGGGAACTTGTCGAGGGCACAGTATACACAACAGAGCCGCTCCATGTCGTCGGGGAAGAAGACGATGTAGTGGAAGCCGAGCTGGTACTCCAAGATGACGACGATGTGGTTGACCCCAAACACACCTGAGGAGCGCCCATTGTGGTGGTGGAGGCTGTGCCTCTTGAGGAAGTGGATCTCCCAAACACACTGTTGTCCGCCGACAGGTCCTCAAGGGGCGGGTCTCTCCAAATGCCGGGAAGTAGGGCTGGGTCCACTCCAGTTTGCAGTGCCGGGTCCACTACAGCGTCTGGGTCTGCAGCTGATTCCTCACTTTCTTCCTCAACTGAAGCACCAGGCGAGGAAGAGAGGCCCACCGAGTTTGGGCGCCTGACCTGCAGAGAAGGACTGCGGCTGCGGTCCCTGGTCTGCACCCCCGAAGAGGAAGGGGGTTCATAAGGAGCGGCCGTGTGGAATGCCATCGAGATTCCCTCTGTAGGATCCACTTCTTGCGGCTGAAGTGGTGCGGCTAAGTTGACCTCCAGCTGCCTCGTGAAGATCGTGGTGAACTGTCTCGCCCAATTCAGCCAACGTATGCGCGCAAGCTCCTCACCAGGGATCCTTTGCAAGGGAAGGTAGCCTCGGGGGACAAGTCGCCGTAGGAGAATGTCCAATACCACTTGTAGTGTCTGAACTCCATCTTCAAGCCGCGCTGTCAAACGTGCTAGAGCCCAGCGGGCCTCAGGTCCAGTGCCATCAATTTGGCGATCATCGATTTGGTGTAACAACTCCTCTACCCTGTGCACGTTTTCCTGGGTGAGCCCATTTTCCCGTAGAGTGGCCTGCTCACTGTTGGTAAGCTGCATGAGCCAGGTGACTTCCTCCTCGAGAGTCCGCACATCAGCGAAAAGACCAAGGCCCGGCACAACAGGTACTTCAAAGTCATCCTCACCTGGCGCACTAGTCGTGGTAGTGGAAGACGAAGACGAGGCAGGCGTCCATATGCAGGTCGAAGCGTGCTGAGTTTCCGTTTCCTCCCACTGCCAACGGTCACTCACTGACTGCCAACCATCCCATGTCGCCGACGACCACCAGGTGGACCACGAAGAGTTCGACCATGTGGATGGCCAATTCCACGTTGTAGTGCCATTCCATGTGGTGGAGGGGGTCCAAGTCACCCAGCCAGTGCCTGGGTACTCAGTGTCATCGCAATTGGAGGGCGTCACTGTAGAGGATGTCACCCCAGCGAAGTTTGCGGTAGACCAGGCATGTTGCTCCGGAGAAGTCACCCCGGAAACATTCGACTCACCCTGTGTTTCCTCCTGGGCTAGAGAGGCGGCATCTTCACGCTGGCGGCGGTCATTGGCATACTGTACTAGCCAGGCAGGCTTCCAACGACCATCGAAGTAGGCTTGCATCCTCTCCTTCTTTCTTCGGGCACGTACTTCACCCCCACCTCCTCGGTGTGAACGAAGTTCCTGTTCGGTGCGAGGGCGGTTGTGCCAGATTCCTCCCCGCCAGAAGCCGACTGCTTGGTTGGAGCCACCGTCGGAGGAGGACATCCCAGACTCAGTGTCGGCCAAATCTGCTTCTTCACCAGCTGTCGTACTCTGTTCGCTGTCTGGTTGGGGTCCAGACCGAACGGTGAATTCCTTGCCCGTTGCGTCCACGCCATGTAGCAGAGTGTCCCCACTGGTGGGGTCCGTTCCTTCAACGCCCGTAATCTGGAACCATGGTTCAGCTGGCGGGTCTTCTTCTGGTACGGGCGGAAGAGCTTGAGGAGCATGTGCGGCAGCGAGACGTTCACGGAGCCGATATCTTAGCGTTCCGTCAGCGTTGTGCCATCGATCTCGCCCAACACGGGTGACCCCAAAACGAGAGGTGATACCAGGTTCCTGCGGTGCAGCTTCAGCTGCACCCCGTTGTCCGGGCTGCGTGGTGCGCGAGGGTCTTCCTCGCAGGCGCCTCTTGTCAATGACCATCTCAACCCAGTCATAGTTGGCCGGAGTTGCTTTCGTGGCATCCTGTTCTGGTGTCCAAAGTCCAGGTCGGGTAGAAGGTCTGCGAGTCAATTTCCCCAGGGCATCTTGAGGAGCTGGCACTCGAAGATGCGGTTGACGAGGTCGGAGGGCACGATGACGAAGAAGATCGTGTCGTAGAGGAGGAGGCCGGAGTGCACGATGACGAAGAAGATCGTGTCGTAGAGGAAGAGGCCGGAGTGCACGGTGTCGGAGAGGAACGTGTCGTAGAGGAGGAGGCGGAAGTTCCCAACGCGACTACGTAATCTTCACTGGGTTCAGGCCAGTCCCACTCAGGTAGTGCACGAGGAGGTTCATCATCTTCATCTTCTTCTTCTGCAGCAACTTGTGATCCCTGTTTGTTCACTGTAGCCACTGCATGGTCAAACTCGTCCTGCTGAAGGCCAAGGCAGAGGTCTTCATCCCAGGCCGAGGACATGTAGGCCATCACCCTGGGGTCAGATCCAGGCAGAGGTCGAGAAGAGGCCGAAGACGAAGAGTTTCCAAAGTCATCCCAGGCACTGGCGGGAGTCTGCGGGAAGGGGCCCATCTGGTCGACCACATGCTGCTGGGGCATCCAGGCACTTTGCGCTGAGGACGAGGAAGGGGTGGACGGAGGGACTCCATGAGGTACAGCGGGAGTGTCATCGTCCAGGTCAGCCGTCCAGGCGCTTTGCAAGGGCGTCTGGGTAGAGGAGGCCGGCATGTGTGATTCCCATAGATGGCCTGGATATTCATCCTCCTCATCAACATTGCCAGCGGGCTCCACCACGAAGAACAGGCACGACGCAAAGACGAGGAGCAGGGAGTGCAACCGACAGCGCATTTCCATTATGGACACGGATGGCGATGTTGTGGGAGGACGATCCAAAATCACCTGGAGCCAAATTCACGATCGACACCGGAGACAGGTATTTCATGGACGTGAGTGAGTGACTTGTGCTGCTGCAAGTTCGCGAACATGTAGTGAGCAAAGTAAAACATCACATGCGGAAAGGAGCGCAGGCGCTCAAGATTGAAGATCCAAAATGCAAGAAACTCTGAGATCACATACTTTCAGGGAGGGTCGCATCTATCCAACCTGCCGAAAACAGAGCCACGATGACAAATGCCAGTAAAACTCAGTCATGTCGGACTTCACACCATACTGGCAAAGAGTCACCCACTAGCATCAGCAGGTCAAGGCCAACTGTCTACTCCGAGTCCACTTCATATCCCATTTAGCAAGAAACGCTTCACGTTCTCTGGTCCATTTCTGACGGTCATTCGCAAGGAGTCTCCATTCGTTCCCATGAACTTCCGCAAGCTGTCTTTCGAGGTTATGCACATAGACGTGGCCAACATGTCTAACTCCAACAGTCGGGCTAAGTGCCTGTTGGCGTCTCCACCATGACGTGCTTCGCCATTCTAGTGTTCTCATCGGCAGGGAAGGAAGAGGAAGACTCCGAGGGCCAACCAGCTCGACTCTTCTTGCCCAGTGACCAGCGAGAGTATGTTGCAGGCGAAGAATGGTGGTGCTCCACCTGGGCACCTGGTTTTGTGCAAGCCAGCAGCGGCAGTCCCGCATCGTGGTTCCATGTCAGCCAGCTTTCTCCCCCTCGGCGACGGAGTTTGAAGGCAGTTCTC